CCCCGCCACAAGTGGCAAATGGAGTGATGGATGGCCTGGACTATGGCTTTATGAAGGAAGTGGTCTTCCACTGTCAGGAGGGCTATGCATTGCACGGTGCTCCAAAACTCACCTGCCAGTCAGATGGCCACTGGGATGCAGAGGTTCCTGTCTGTAAGCCAGTCAGCTGTGGGCCTCCTGAAGATCTTGCTCATGGCTTCCCTCATGGTTTTTCCTTTTATCATGGGGGGCATATACAGTATCAGTGCTTTCCAGGTTATAAGCTCCATGGAAGTTCTTCAAGAAGGTGTCTCTCCAATGGCTCCTGGAGTGGCAGTCCACCATCCTGCCTGCCTTGCAGGTGTTCCACACCAACCATTCAATATGGAACCATCAATGGGACAGATTTCAGCTGTGGAAAGATAGCCCGGATTCAGTGCTTCAAAGGCTTCACACTCCTGGGATCGTCTGAAATCACCTGTGAAGCCAATGGCCAGTGGAGCTCCAGCTTCCCAAGTTGTGAACATGTGGCTTGTGGTTCTCTCCCAACCATTCCAAATGCACTCATCAGTGAGAGCAGCTCCTTGAAGGAAAATATGATAACTTACAGTTGCAGGTCTGGGTATGTCCTACAAGGCAGTTCAGATTTGATTTGTACAGAAAAAGGGACCTGGAGCCAGCCTTATCCAGTCTGTGAGCCCCTGTCCTGTGGTCCCCCACCAACTGTCACCAATGCTGTGGCAACTGGAGAAGCACACACCTATGAAAGTAAAGTGAAGCTCAGGTAAGACTATGGCTCTGTAGAGTCTCCAGGGGATACAGGCAGCAGGATTACCAAATGGAAAGAGATAGATGAAAAATATAGCTATTTGGGAAGAGACCACCACCTCTGGACTGCTCTCCAAACACCGAAGCTTTTAATGCTTGGCTTCATTCTACCCACAATAATGTAGAAATCTATTGACTGTAAAATAAATTTATACTTTTTTCAGATTGTAATTTCTAATATAATTGTCACGACTATCACAGTCTATTGAGCTTCGTGAAACAGCAAGATCCTCTAGCTAGCTTGAAAAGCTCTTGAATCACAAAACTCTTTTTTGTAAACTTCACGATGGCACATTCCTTTATGATTATACCATTACAGTTATATTTATACATGCAAATGTTGGGGAAATAAGGCAAGAAACTGAAGAATCCAGGCCAAAAAAGCACATACCTTTCATTGGCCAATATAAATAAGGGAACAATTGTAACAGGGACTTCTGGTCTATGCTATGTGAGCAAACTAAGCATTTAATGCTCAAATAGTGATTTTTGCTGGAGAATTCCATATCTGAAATGTATTACTAAAATAAAAGATGAGCAAATATGAAATGAATTTATGAATTAAACTTTTTATTGGAATAAATAGCCATACTGTTCAAAGATACCACAACTCTCTAAAACAATTTAAATTTTATTCACTTTTCTGAGTAACTTGTGGATTTCTCTGAATATACTGGCATGTTATATTTGATGAATAGTTCAACAACTCTTCTAAGGCTTTCTATAGTGGGTGTTTTGCCTCACTTTCATGTTTTCTTTCTTTTTTTTTTTTTTACTTTCATATTTTCTTAATTTCAATAATGAGTAGTAGCTCCAAGGTGCAACTCCTATCCATACATATCATGCCATGCAAGCGGGTCTTACTGCCCTAACATCCTCCATGATAAGGAAGTCAAAGAGTAGTGGATCACACCCCAAGCAGAAGAAAATATATATTGTCCTTTGCTTTTGAAGCATGTACACTTTAAAATTTCTGTTTTGATGGTGGTATGCTGGGTATGTCAGGAAGCCATGATGGCCACCTCCACCTGCTTGCTGATGTCATTATCTTTCAGATCGTTACCTATTATCCAGTGAACAGATCACTCCCAGTTGGCAAAACCTCTGGGTCCTACCTGGACTGGTAATCTGTGAAATTAAAAAAATATATATTATCCAAGGATAAATGTTGAATAGTTAAATGGTTTCATTAAAAAGGTAGTGTAGTATGTTGGGTAAAAGCAGGGACAACAATGCCCCTTTAGTAGTAGGTAAGACCTGTGTTAATCTCCAGCTCTGTGTCTTTGAGGAAGCCATTTAATCTCTCCTGTGCCAATTTCATTGTCTTCAAAATAGTAATAAAGATAATAGCAGCACCTACTCATAAGGTTGACATGAGAAGACAGTGAGCTAGTATTTGTAGAGTACTTAGAACAGTAACTGGAATTTAAGTTCTATGTACCCATTTGCTGAATAAATAAATATAAATATAAATAAATTTTAAAAATTGTAGAGGATTTTAGAGTCAGGTTGACTTGAGCTTGAATAGCAATGCTCCAGTTACACAATAATGCTTCATAATCAAGATTAAAATGAATATCCTATGTAAAGAACCTAGACTAGTCCCTGGCACAAAGTAGATATTCAGTAAATATTATGTCATATTCTTACGATGAACTGAGTCTACTTTCAACTTTATTTAGAATTTCTCAAACTGTTAGCTGTTTTTAGAATAAAAATGAATTCAATAATGATATTGTCCACAACCAAGGTCAGTAACAGTACTTAAGAACTTTGAACTACATTGATCTTTCATGTGGATAACCAAGAATTTGATATATTGCCCAAAATGTCGACGGAGCCTCATAACTAGTCTTCTTAAATCAAGACTAGTCAGGGACTATGTTGTACTCCCTTTAAGGCACTCATTTTTGCATTTCCATTGCAGATGTCTGGAAGGTTATATGATGGATACAGATATAGATACCTTCACCTGTCAGAAAGATGGTCACTGGTTCCCAGAGAGAATCTCCTGCAGTCCCAAAAAATGTCCGTTTCCAGAAAACATAACACGTATACGTGTTCATGGGGACGACTTCAGTGTGAATAAGCAAGTTTCTGTGTCATGTGTGGAAGGGTATACCTACGGGGGAGTTAACGTATCAACATGCCAGGTAAGGCTGTCTTCATTAGGTGGACCTCCTATTTATATGTAGTGTGTCATGCAAGCAGTATATTTTGCTGTCCTAAAAAAGAAAAAAAAATGCCTCAAGCTTTTACTCATGTCAAAGATTTTGAGAAATGTCTTGGTAGAAGTATAATAAAATGTATCTTTCTTCCCAATATTCTCATTTTTAAACTAAGAAAATGCCAGAGGCAGATAGAAAATTGGAGTCAGATCCTGCCTCTGTTATTTACTACTTGGCTGACTTTAAGAAAGTTACTTATAATTTCTGAGCTTCGGTTTCCTTACTTGAAAA